GTCGCAAACCTGTCTGTGCGTCCGGCTGATTAAAGGTGTCCGTCCTGGATTGCTCCAGGTCTCGGTGGTGTGTGTAGTTTGTTCAAGCGGGTGTTATGTCTTCCAGTTGTCAGTTTTGGTCGGGGGGGGGGGAAACTGTCAGTAGTCTGTGTGTGGTTAATGGGTAGTGCGTGTCTGTGCCTATGAGGGGTAAGGCAGTTGTCGTGATGTTCTGTGAGTTTCAGCTAAATTGGCTCAGGGGTCACAGTTCCATTAGCCACATATGTGGTCCATGGGTACCAGGTCAATGCACACCGCTCCGGTCTCCCGTGGAGGTCGGCCGTCAGGGTCTCCATTGAGTATATGTCCTCCACTGCCGACACCCAATGCCCCAAGGTGGGCGCTCTTGGCTGTTTCCACATCCTCGGGATAAGGGATTTGGCGGCATTGAGTAGCGGCAGCTCCAGGGATTTTTTGTATGCTGTCAGTGGGCTTCGGGTGTGGAGCAAAAGCATCGTTAAGGGTGCCAGGGGGATATCGGTGCCTGTAATTTTGTTGACCTCTCCTCTAATTTGTTCCCAGAAAGGGGCAATTACCGGGCATGACCACCACATGTGGATATATGTGCCAGGTTGTGTGCCACATCGCCAGCACATGCCTGACATGGTACCGTGCATGCGGTGCAGTGTGTCGGGCGTTCTATACCAGCGCGTTAGCACTTTATAGTTTCATTCCTGATATTTTGAGCTAATAGAGCATTTGTGCGTGAGGGTGTAAATCTTGTCCCATTCGTGTGCAGTGAGTGTCTCTCCCGCATCCCTCTCCCAGTGGTCCTTGAACCTAAGCTCCACGTCCCTGTTCGTCCGAGTAGTGAGTAGTGTGTACAGGGTTGAGATTCCCCTGGTGATGTGTGTGCGTTGCACACATAGGGTTTCAAAGTCAGTTAAGGGTCTGTGTAGGTGCCCCTTACCCGAGAGGGCTGAGTAGTAAGATTTTATTTGGCGGTATCTAAACTGTTCAAGGAATGTAGGTGTTCTGTCGGGGCATAGTTTTCCGAGTGTTTTTAGGCCGCTGGAGCTGAGCCATTGGTGTATATATGACCAGTCCGTCGGTTGGAGTCCGGCTAGGTCACCGCGAGTTAGTGAATCTGCCAAGTCCGGGTTATGTGTGAGGGCGGTCAGGGGACTGGGCGAAGTGGTGAGTTGTAGACGGTATCGGGTTGCCATCCAGACCCTTAAGGGGCGTCTATTAAGGGATTTTTAGTTTGTAGGTCTGCGTGTGTAGCAGTGTGTAGCCATAATGTGGGGGGTATGTGCCCTCCCGACTGTTCCAATTCCAGTGTGACCCATTGTTTTGTGGGATGTTGTGCGTGCCAGTCTGTGAGCCTGTGTAAATGTGCCGCCCGGTAGTATGTCTCAATTGAGGGCAGGCCGGCTCCCCCCAACAGTTTCGGCAGTTCCAGTGTCGTTCTCTTGATGCGCGTTGGGCGCGAATTCCAAACGAATCTGCGGATGGCGGTCGTCAGGGAGCTAAAGAACACTCTGGGGACCGCGATCGGCACCGTCTGGAATAAATAGAGCAGTCTGGGTAGAAGGTTCATTTTGACTGCGTTAATGCGTCCAAACCAAGATATATATTGAGGGGCCCATTTTCTCATGTCTGCCTGGATCGTTTGTAGCAGCGGGTGGTAGTTTTGGTAGTACAGTTGGGTCATGTCTTTTGGTAGCCATATACCCAGGTATTTCAATTTAGTGGGACACCATTTGAAGCGGAATTGGGTGTATAGCGTCGGTGAGGAGTCCTGAGGGCCAGGTAGGTAAAGGGCCTCTGACTTATCTGTGTTGAGCTTAAGGTTAGATATCAAGCCAAACCTTTGGAATGCGGCCAGAAGATTAGGAAGTGATATCCGCGGAAGGGTGAGAAAAAACAACATGTAATCCGCGTATGCAGCAACCCGATATTTTCGCCGGCCGACGATGAATCCTGTGATACCCCCGTCTCGTCGGACCGCCCCCAGGAAGGGTTCCAGGGAGAGGGCAAACAGGAGGGGGGACAGCGGGCAGCCCTGGCGGGTTCCATTTCGAATGGGAAAGGGGGCGGACAGAGCTCCATTCACCCGAATCCGAGCCGTCGGGTGAGGGAAAGGACCCATGATCGCATGTGTGGGCCGAATCCCATGTGTGTGTGAGTGTTTCCTCCAAGTACACCCAGTCCACCCGGTCAAAGGCCTTCTCGGCATCTGTCAAGAGGAGGAGTAGCTCCCGATGTTGCGACCTTGCTACTTGCAGAATGTTTAGGGCTTTGATGGTGTTATCCCTTCCCTCCCTCTCTGGGACGAACTCGACCTGGTCCGAGTGCACTAGGTGTGGTAGGTGCTTCGCGATTCGCAGGGCTAGTGTCTTGGCGAACAGTTTGAGGTCTGCATTGAGCAGGGATATGGGGCGGTAGCTAGCGCAATTCGCTGGGTCCTTACCTTCCTTGGGTATTACCGTGACTATGGCCGCTAGTGTGTCGGTGGGAAACCGTTCCCTGTCTTGAAGTAAGCCAAGACCTTGTAGGAGGTTCGGCAATAATATATCGCGGAATGTACGCAAGGAGGCCGTCTGGGCCAGGAGCCCTGTGGGATTTGGAGATTTTTAATGCTGCGGCTAACTCTTCTATCGTGAGGGGTCGTTCTAGTTCCTCCATCATTTCAGGGGTTAATTGTCTTTCTACATTTTGGTCTAAGTACTCCGCTATTTGGCCACGGCGTTGGGCATGTGCGGCGACCGTCGTGGGTTGGGGGATATTATATAAGTCGGTGTAGTAGTCCACAAAAGCACGTTGGATTCCGTCGGGTAGACTTGTTACAGTCTTGTCTCTTGTGTTAATTTTGTGTATGTGGTTCGCCCTTCGCCTGTCTTGAAGCTGGCGGGCTAAAAGCCTACCGCTCTTGTTGGAATACTCGAAGAAGTGCCGAGCCGACTTTCTAAGGGTGCACCCTTGGCTAGTATGTCCCGTCTCTGCCTCCTAAGCTCCGTCAGTCGGTGGTACTCGTCCTCCCCCTGATTTTGTTTGTGTGCCTGCTCTAGTGTGGTGATTTGTGCGTTTAGGGTGGACAATTGTTGTGTGCGCTCTTTTTTGCGCTGTGAGCATATTTTGATATAGTGGCCCCTGATGACACATTTATGTGCCTCCCAGATAGTTGGGGGGGGTATCTGGCATGTTATTAGAGTCAAAGTATTGTGTCAGTGCTTGCCTGGCTTGTTCCTTGTCCACTAGGTCGAGCAGTAAGTTTTCGTTCAACTTCCACTGCCGTTCTGCGGGTTTATGTAGGGGGGATTGGATTTGTACTGTAATGGGGGTGTGGTCAGAGTCTGCGATAAGCCCTATGCTAGCTCGTTGGAGTAGTGTTAGGGCCTCTTGTGCTGTTGAGCGTATGGTATCGAAGTTTCTCCCCTAGATGTATCCAGCCTAGAGTCAAGGGGAATGTTGAGGTCCCCTGCCACTATCAGAAGGCCTTCTCTGAATTTGTTTAGTAAGGCTAGTGTCTTAGTTAGGAAGACGTGTTGGCATCGATTAGGGGAGTACAAGCAGGCAAATGTGTAGGTGGACTGTGCCATTGTTCCTTTGATAAATACGTATCTACCCCCGGGGTCTGACTTCTGCTCCGTGCAGACGAATGGGACTGTACTGGAGAGTAGGATTGCTACTCCGGCCTTCTTCCCGTCTGGGTGATTGGCATAAAATCCTGTGGGGTAACGCCCGTTTCTCACGGTCGGCGCCTGTGCACCCTGAAAATGTGTTTCCTGTAAAAACGCCACTGAGGCGCGCTCTGCCCACAGCGTGCGAAGTAGTTGGGACCTTTTTTCGGAAATGTTTAGGCCTCTCACATTGTTAGACCATAGGGTCAGCGGTGTCGGCTTATAGTTAGAGCCCATCTCTATCAGCGTTATTTGTGAGATGTGTGTGGGAATGTGTGCGTCAGTGGTTGGTGGGTGTAGGGGTAAGGTCTGTCCGGTGTCTGGGGAGGGGGTAAGTCTGTCCAAGAGTAAGGCAACTGTGACTCGCCTCGGTTTTTGTCGCCCTCTGGTGTCTGTTCCCCTAGGGGTGAGTCATCTCGGTGGCCTCCGGGTATATATACAACGTATGCGGTCCCTCTGGTCTGGGTCGTTCGATAGTGTCGTGTCGAGCCCTTCCCTTGGCTCCCAGCTCACCTATCGTGTTGGTTTGTAGATCTCTCTGAGCATGTTTCCGTCCCGTAAACTCCACCCGCCTTCGTCGTCCCTCCCTGTCACGGCCTACGTATGGGCTATCTGACTCGGGCCCCAAGTTTCACGTCATTCTGTTACTGTCACTACACATATTGTACAGTGTCTGCGCAATTGTTTACAAACAATAGAAACCATATACCAATATAACAATCATAATAAACAGTTGTGGAGCAAGGCCCTCCATTCTCCCCCCACAAGGGAGCCCCCCGCACCCCCTCTTTGGTGGCCCCACTGCGTGCCTGAAAGGCCCTCGGCTGTCCAGAAGGTGCTGGAGTCCGTGCTATCGGTCGGACCCATCAGGCTAGAGCTTGGGGAGATCACCCTTACAGCGGTGGGTACAACCCCGGTATGGTGGCAGCCTCCCGGCCTCCACCCCCACACCCCACCCACCCAAAGGTAGCTGGTGTTCCCGGACCGTGGCAACTAGGAGAGTCCCAGCATGGCATGTGCATGCAAAGTCTATCTCCTGAGGGTCCCCACCCCTGGTTGTGAGGCTCAGGTTAGGCCACCCCCTGCTAGTGTGGATCTGGACCCCGTGTTGCGGGCTTAGGTCAGGGAATCAAGTACATACCAAGTTGGGCTGTGGTTCGACCAGGTGCATGGGGGGCCATGTCATCTCGTGGTGCCTGACACCCACAGGAGCTTCCGATGGTCGGTGTCTAGGCCTTCAGAGTCGTCTTGTGGCTTCCTCTCGTAGTGGCTGGGGGGCCGTTGGTGGGGTGGCAGGTCGGCGGTCGGGGTAGCCGAATGAGTGGTAGGGGGCCAGGTTCATAGGAGACCATTATTCTTCGTGGCTGTCCGGGCCACGGATGATATGCCAGTCTGGGCTCTGTCTGCTTCTAGGGCCTCTACCCTGTGTTCAAGGGCTGTCAGATCTTTCCTCACCTCAATGACTTCCTCTCTGATTGCAGTCCTGATTTCTGCCAGCATCTCAGCTTTGTCAGCCCTGGACAGCATATTGGCAGTGATCTTGGCCAGCTCGGATGAAATATGTGCAAGAGTTTCTCCCCTGGGTGAGCCCTGCGTCTGGCTGTCACTGCTGCTATCCCCTGGGGAGGCCGGCGCCATTTTGGCTGCGGCCGGAGCGGACCGCATGTCTCGCGGCGTGTATACATAGCCGTCCATGGGGCCCGAGGTGCGACCCGGCGAGCCGGCTTGTGAGGGACCCGGCGTGTGGGGTCTCCTGGATTTACCCATCCCGGGTTGAATAGCGCTCGTTGATGGGTGCTAGTGTGAGCTGGGGCCGCGGAGCAGGCTCTGGATGCATCCTACTCCATACCCAGTCAGGCCACGCCCCTACTACAAATTTTTATTCCAAAGAGGTCAAGGTAAATAAGTATAATCCAGAGCTCCAAAGCAAAACCACTCACAGTATTATGTCACATACTTAGTCTGCTCCTCTGGCATGTAGGGGAGGCAGTCTGGCACTTCTGGCCTGCACTTCTGTTGGTTGCAGACCATAAGTAGCTGTCTTCCTAGTTCGGGATAATCAGAGCGCTGCCACAGATTACCACAAGATACTGCAAGTCCCTGAGCTTGCGAGACAGTTACACATGGTCTGTACCCAGTGGAGGGGCAGACCAGATTCAGATCAGCATGGCCCTCTCCCAACTAGGTAACAAGGAGGAATAAATATTTATTTGTAAATCATTATTAATTTAATAAATCCCCTATACAATCACTACACTCCTATACACACACACACACACACACACTATACATGGATGACGAGGGGGGGGGGGGTGCTGTAAAGATTTTTCACACAGGGTGCCTAAAGGCCTAAGGCTGGCCCTGCTTCTGTCACAATTCATATTTAAGCTGTCATTAATTAACTTGAAAATTGCCAAAATAGCTGAGCTTGTGCCGAAAATTTGCATACCCTCTCTGTTAATGTTTTAAGACTCATGTTTTCACTACAGCTCCTTGAAGGCTGTTTGACTCTGGCAGTTAACACGTATGACATCATAGATGCATTGTCACATTCTACAGTGACATCACAGAACTCACTTGGCTGTGTTCAAGGTTTACATAGAAACAAGTGGCAATGTTTTGCTGTCGAAGACATCTGAGTTTAGTGCAGCTGACTCCTCTTCTACAAGCAAGGTAAGAGTGCAGTCAGGGTTAGGCTGTTAATGGATAGATAAGTAAAATTGCAGATAATTTCAGTATCTTGTAATACTTTTTCCACTGGACCAAGATAATTTGGGATGACACACTTTCAGGATATCCTTCCTTGTCAATGAATTAATAGAAAAAAAGAAAAAAGGAGCCTATATAATGAGATGAGACAAAAAATGGTAGGTAGTGTGAAAATGGGGGGTAACCCCTAAATGGTTAAATTGAGAAACTAAAAAAGGGAAGAACAAAAACACTACCAATAGGTGTCTCTAAATACATATGGTGTAGAGATCGTAATGTGGTTATCACAGATGAGGTTGTCACCAAACAAAATAAATAAATAAAGTAAAACTTCACTTTTAATAGATCATTTTAAAATCCATTTAAATAAAGATAAAGTAACAAAAAAGTAAAGACCAAGATATTTGGTCCTAAATGAAAATTATAGTCTTGCTACAGCAACACTAAGCATTCTTAATCAGTAAACACGGAAACATGGAATGTGACGGCAGATAAAAACCATTCGGCCCATCTAGTCTGCCCAATTTTCTAAATACTTTCATTAGTCCCTAGTCTTATCTTATAGTTAGGATAGCCTTATGCCTATCCCACGCATGCTTAAACTCCTTTACTGTGTTAATCTCTACCACTTCAGCTGGAAGGCTATTCCATGCATCCACTACCCTCTCAGTAAAGTAATACTTCCTGATATTATTTTAAACCTTTGTCCCTCTAATTTAAGACTATGTCCTCTTGTTGTGGTAGTTTTCTTCTTTTAAATATAGTCTCCTCCTTTACTGTGTTGATTCCCTTTATATATTTAAATGTTTCTATCATATCCCCCCTGTCTCGTCTTTCCTCCAAGCTATACATGTTAAGTTCCTTTAACCTTTCCTGGTAAGTTTTATCCTGCAATCCATGAACCAGTTTAATAGCCCTTCTCTGAACTCTCTCTAAGGTATCAATATCCTTCTGGAGATATGGTCTCCAGCAGGGCCGCCATCAGAAATTCTGAGGCCCCTAACACAGCTCAAGGTCTGGGCCCCCCTTCAAGCCCGCCTCCAACTCCCGCCCACAGGAATACACACACACTAACAGATACAAATACTGAAACAGACATACACACATGCATAGGGAGATACTGACACACACACACACACACACATATACATGCAGACATACATACATATACATACACATACTGCATACTGATATATACATACATACCGACAGGCATGTATACATAGAGACACACACTGGCATACAGACACACACTGGCATACACGCACTGGCATACATACACACATACACTGGCATACATGCACTGGCTTATACACATACACTGGCATACATACACTGGCATACATATACACATACACTGGCATACATGCACTGACATACACACACTGGCATACACACATACACTGGCATACATGGGCATACATACACACATACACTGGAATACACACATACACTGGCATACATACACTGGCATGCATACATACACTGGCATACACGCTTACACACTGGCATACATACACACATACACTGGCATACACACTGGCATACATACACACATACACTGGCATACATACACACGTACACTGGCATACACACATACACTGACACACACACTGGCATACATACACTGGCATACACACACATACACTGGCATACATACACTGACACACATACACTGACAGGCATACATACACTGGCATACACACATACATACACACATACATACACACCGGACGTCACTTCCTCCCAGCAGCACTTGCTTCTGGCTGCATATTTTTTTTTTAAAGGGGCCCAGTCGCGCTATTACAGCGCTGATCGGGCCCCTGAAGATAATAGGGCCCATTGGGTGGCCCTAAATGATTGGGCCACCTGATGGGCCCCATCAGCACGTGGGCCCCGGTGCAGATGCACCGGCGGCAATTCCGCTGATCCACGTGGCCCCCCAGGGCCGCCGGGCCCGTGACAATTGTCACGGTTGTCATGCCCTGATGGCGGCCCTGGTCTCCAGTACTGTGTACAATACTCCAAGTGAGGTCTCACCAGTGTTCTGTACAATGGCATGAGCACTTCCCTCTTTCTACTGCTAATACCTCTCCCTATACAACCAAGCATTATGCTAGCATTTCCTGCTGCTCTATTACATTGTCTGCCTACCTTTAAGAGATCAGAAATAATCACCCTTAAATCCCTTTCCTCATATGTTGAGGTTAGGACTCTATCAAATATTCTGTACTCTGCCCTTGGGTTTTTACGCCCACATTATCCACATTAAATGTCAGTTGACACAATTCTGACCATTTTTCTAGTTTACGTAAATCATTTGCCATTTGGCTTATCCCTCCTGGAACATCAACCCTGTTCCATATCTTAGTATCATCAGCAAAAAGACATACCTTACCATCAAGACCTTCTGCAATATCGCTAATAAAAATATTAAAGAGAATGGGTCCAAGTACAGATCCCTGAGGTACCCCACTGGTGACAAGACCATGCTTCGAATATATTCCATTAACTACAACCCTCTGTTGCCTGTCACTCAGTCACTGTCTAACCCATTCAACAATATTGGAATCCAAACTTAAAGATTGCAGTTTATTGATAAGCCAGTATGACTACCTGAAAGAGACAATGTATCGAAAAAATAAAACTTTGTGGTGAAAAGTATCTATTTGTACAATATATACAATACAGGTAGGGGGAGAGGCGAGAACTATTCCCAATAACTAGACTCTGCTGCAGAAAGAGTCTAGTCAGATAGTTGAGCAGCCTCAATTAGGCAGAATGTGTATATACAAATTGCTTAACTCCATCAAAATAGGAGTAAAAGAATGCCAAAAAGGTTCTATAGAAGGGGAGATCCCTGATAGGACTGATTCACAGAGATCAATAGGTGATAGTTGGTAACAGAAAGGAAAATATAAAGGAAAATATCAGCAGAGTCTAGTTATTACAGGGAACACTGGGAAAGGGCAGACTGGAAGATTAAGTAGAGAAAAGTAAGCAGAGATGGAGAATGCAAGCGAAGGAAAAATTTAAGAAGTCAGTGAGAGCGTATATAGAAAGTTTTACTAAGAGAGAAATGAAGTCTACGGGAAAGGGACAGTTAAAATGGATAGTAAGACAGAGATTTGGGGGTATTATTCATTAAACACGAAACTATAGGAAAATGACATATAAAAACGAATTGCAACATTTAGGCCAAAATAGCTGATTTGAACAATATAGTGTTTATTGAATAGGCGTCTGCGAGAATGGAATTGTATCTCATGACGGGGCTGCATAATGGATCTTTGCCTTGGGAGGTAAACGTCCTTGCACCGACCCTGCGCTCTGCAGAAGACTATGCTGGAGGTTGTGAAGGGCCACTGGATTACCAGGGAATGTAGTGCCCCCCCCCGTCCCAGACCATATCTATATGACTTAAAGCGGCACTGTCATGCCGAATCCCGTTTTTTTTTTAACCCCCCTCCCGCCACTACATCCAATTGACCAACTAGCCCCTAGTCACCCCCACCACCCAAAAAAAACCTATCCCCTACCTACCCCCCTCACCCTAAAAATAGTGAGGGGGGAATAAAATAACTAACCTGTAAAAAAAAAAATTAAACTTACCATTTGACGTCTTCTTTTTTCTAAAATCTTCTTTCTTCAGCCCCCAAAAAGGCCAAATAAAAATCCATCATACCCGTCGCACTTAAAAAAAAACCCAAAAAAAACGAGCGCAAAAAAAAATTAATCCATGTTCGCCCTTCGAGGGCACGCCGCGTACTGAGCTCCGCAGGGCGGGTCAAGGCTTATAAAGCCTTGCCCCGCCCTGCAATTAGGCTTAGAACACTCTGATTGGTGGGTTTAAGCCAATAAGAGTGCTCTGTGTCATTTTACACAGCCACCCAATCAGAGTGCTCTGTGTCATTTTACACAGCGTGGGAAAGTTCTTTTGAATTTTCCCACGCTGTGTAAAATGACTCATAAGACTCTGATTGGTT